CTTCTGGCTATTTTCTTTATATTTCATTCAAAAGCAATGACAAACTTAAATAAATTAGGCCCCATGAATGTTTTCAGCTGTTGTTGAAGCTTGCATTTTACTAATAAATATTATAAAAATGTCTAAAAAAACACCTTGATTTAAATAATTAAAAACATTAAATTTAAAATTGCTTATAGAAAGCCAATGGGTTTGTTCAAAAAGACGTCATTCCTTGATTCACTGCATACTTTTAGACACCATTGTAATGTGATTTAAGAAAACCATAATTTCTGTGGCCCCCATTTTGTTTTTTAATTTTTTTTTTGTTATTTTTATAGTTAAGTGAAAAATAGAAAAATCGTGTTTTGAATTTATGAACATTTTTTGAAAGCAATGGCAAAGCAAAATAAAATAAGCCTCTTGAATGTTTTGAACTGTTGTTGAAGCATCAACTACTTTTCTGACACAAATATAAACAAAAGTAATACTGATAAATGATGAGAAATGAAACCCAATTAAGTTTAAAATTAATATGCACACTTACTCGATCTTTTACAAAACAGAGCAATAAATTTCTGTCTGCTTTTATTGTTTGCTCTTTCATTTGATGCACTCCTTTGATTAATTAATCTACTTAGTCTAAAACTTTTCGAGTGCCATTCAGCCGGTGAGGCAAAGTTAAATTTGCATCTGTCTCTGATGTGACACTTTTCCTTGAACTCACTTAACCAGAGATTATCTTTCAATAGAAGCAATTCGCTGTGGGACTGAAAGTTTGTTCCGAAGATCTTTTTAAGACACGGTATCATACGCGTCGAGACTTTACTTCTATACAAACTTCCGCCATCTTTGGCTTTGTCTTCTAACGCTGTCAGTGGCATATATGTCTAAATAATAGAAAAGTTAGTGGCGAAGAAAGCAGAAAGCTCCACGATGCACTGAGAGCACTGAGCTCATCTCCAAAATTTATATGGAGGAGCTGTGGCAAAAATCAAGTATTCGCTCATATGTTAGCTTTATGGCGCCATTTTGTTAATTTATTTCACTTGCTTGACAGTTTGTTTTCAATTTTTTATTTTCGTTTTCATTTTTTGCGCTCGGTTAGTTTGAGTTCTGGTTTGGTTTTTGGTATGGTATGGTACGGTTCGGTTTGCTTTTGTCTTTTGTCGCTGGACAGAGGGACCGAAACTTTATAGAAAGGGATGGTTTTCCAGGGAGGAAATAAATATTTTTTCGCATTCCTTTTAGTGGTGCAGCCAGCATTTCTCGCTTGGTGGTTGGTGGTTGGTGTTGCTGTTGGTGTCGCTGTGGTTTTGACATAAAGTGCGCTTATAAAAAACCGCCAAGTTAGAAACGCGCCGGAATAAAATTTTTTGATGAATGCAACGCTCGGCAACGAGCTTGGACGCTAAAAAAAATTGCGCAAAAATAGCTGATAAATTTTGCGCTCTACGCAAAACAAATGGTTAAAGTTTTAAATTGAAATTGGGCCAAAAGGCAAGCGCATGGGTTCGAGACTAGGTACAACACACGATAGCCGGGTATAGCAGGAGTTAAAAAATGTCCATAATAAATATCTCAATCAAAAAAGACAAGCGGGCAAAAAGTAGCATCAGCATCGGAATACAAATATGGCAGCAAATGGAACACAACAAAATGAATATGAAGCGCTGTTTGCCATTTGCCGATTTTGCTGGCTGATAAAACAAAAGGCAACAAAAAGCACTGCACAGATTAAAAATCTAAACTAAAAGCAGTGTGTGTATGGAAAAAAGGAAAAGTATAAGCTGTTTCTATTTTCCACCATCAAAGATTTCGCTTCCCATTCTTTTTTTTTTTTGTTTAGACTCTTCTTTTTTCGTTTGTTAGATGTTGATATAAAACAAGCGACTAAATAAAAACCGCACACACACACACTCGCACACACACACACCGAAATTCTCGAGGGAGGGGGTGGTGAAAGGGGGGGGGAGGTCCTGTGGATGGATTGAGAGCAGGAGACACACGTACAAGTGCAGGTCCATTTATCTTCTGTCATTGTGCGAGTGTTTCCGTTTTTGTAATGAATGTCCAGCTGTGTGCATTGCCCTGCGGACAAGGAGCCACCTCTCCTTTCTCCTTACTACTTTCTCCTTTCTCCTCCTCTGGCTCCGAATCCAAATCCGAATCGGGCTCTAGATCTGGCCAACGCAAAGCTAAAGCCAAAGCAAACGAGTCCGGGTACGAAGCTCTCGCTAAAACTGAAACTGAAGCTGAATCGGAATCCGGCATCTGAATCTGAATCTGAATCTGAAACCGGACCGAATCGGTGCCACTACAATTGTCGCCAGACGCTCGCTGAAAGGCGTCTTTTATGTCGCTTGATAAGATAAGCCTCGCTTAAAATATATATTCGTCGCTATGTATTTATATGTACATCGTACATAGAGTGGGGTTGCAGATGGAGTAAGATGGGACTGAAAAAGGATACTGTTTTTAACTGGGTGGACCGAGGTATTACATTTTCAGCACTCTCCTGTCTGGAATTAAGCTTTACCATGTTTTGAATACAAAATATACCCACAAAGAAATTCTTTTAGGTATCAAAAATTTTACAATTTATGAGTTGACAGAATAAATAAAATAAATATATTTCTCTACTTCATTCTTTCACTATATTTATTCACATATTCAAAGAATTATTTTAACAAGGTTCAATATGTAGAGCCTTTATTAGGACAGTTATTTTCAATTGGGTAAATTCTCAAATAATAAACTCATATATTTGCAGTACTTTTTCAAGATTTGAATTTTTTAAAGTTGTCAGAAGAAATTAAATAAATGTATTTCTGTACGAGCATTATTTTTTTAAATATTTAAACAGATCCTATAATAATTTACAATTTTTAAAGTTTTTATTTGGGTAAATTCTATTATAATGAACCTATACATTTGCAACAATTTTTTTAAGAGTTCCTCTACTACATTTTAAAGTTTTTACTAAAAGACCTTTCCTTACCTTACCTTTTTTAAATTTTGTAATCATAACTATATAAAATGCTCATTATTTTAATATCATTACATTAATTGGGCAGTAAAATAAATTATAATATTAGCATAAATTAAAGTTAAATTAACGTCCACTCTAGTGGAAACTCTTAATTCTGTGGAAAAGGAACCGGACATCAAGAAAGGCACAAGTGTGCAACTTGTATGCGGCACATTCTTAATCCGGGTTTTTGTCATTACACTTTCCACTTTATTTCCGTTCGCTCGCAGATTTGCGTTGTAAGCACTGCCCCGCCCCCTTTGATCCCGCCCCCAATCCGGTCTTCACTGTGAATTAGGCAGATTTTCTCCTTTCGTATTTCCCATTTGTTTTTTTTCTGCCATTTTTTTTTCAACACCATATCTTTCTTTATTTCCCTCGTTTTCGGCCAGCAAAGAGGAGCAATTGGAAATAATGCAGTGAGGACAGATGAGCACAAAGACAAGGCACTGGGGCAGTGGGAAATTGAGATGCAGGGTCTTAAAACTGGCCAAGACCCGGGCAAAAGGGAAAAGGGGCCGAAAGTTTGGACTGAGCCGTAAGCTGCTTGCCGACGGAGACTGCAGTTCGGGGCTTAAATGCAGCCAACTGCAAACTCAAATGCAATCAGCTGTCGGGCTGAGAACGAGTATCAGGTATGTTAACCGGCGATATCGAAGGGTTTTATTTCGGTGACAAAGCAAGCACAAAAAAATGTGCATCAACAGTTAAAATTATGATCCGAAAAATGCATTGGCACTCAGTTCTCACCTTCCAAACTATCAATTGCAAATTTATACCAACGCTCTTAAAAAATAATGAACTAAAAGCATTTTCAAAATAATATACCATATAAATAACACAAAACAAAAAGGTATTGTTTGATGAATACACAGCTATGCAAATATTTTTATGGCACACTTTTTATCATGGGTGAGTACAACGAATATTAAAGCTATTATTTTTCATAACGAGTTAACATTTGATAGGAGTCAGGAGTATGAAGTTGATAAATTAATATCGGATAATATAATAGTATATGCTTTTGGTAGGTAGGGAAACCATCGATATGGGCTATCGATACTGGCCTCCATCGATATTATCGATATTATCGAAAATCAGAGAGAATAAACAAGCAAGCGTAGAAACGAACGAATATTAAAAAACAATTGAAAATATTGCCTAACTATAAAACAAAAATCGATCAAAATTAATATTTAACGTGGTATCTTATTAAATATAGCTAAAAATACAGCTTTATTACTCAAAAATACCGAACAACACATGAAAAATTAAAATTCTTTTCTGAGCAATACTATCGATAACGGGACAAGCCATCGATAGTATCGATAGGGCTATCGATCGTAATAAATCTACAAAATTGTATCAAATTAATACAAAATGTGCTATGTATCCCAACTTAGGATACATTTATTAATTTACTTCACTCGGTTCGAATATGCAACGCCTGCAATTGATTTTTCGAAAAATCAGCTGTCAAATTCCTATCAACTTGTCTAAATTATTTGGCTGCTTACCCCCCCACCAAAATCATACGTGTCCCGCAGGGCAAACGTTAATTCGATTTGAGGGCATATCTCAACTCGCTGTATATATTTGTACACATATATGTATGTGTTCCTGCAGATCCTGTTCCCCGAGTGGCAACCTCAATTTACCCATTTCGACAGTCCCGATGGCATAAGCGAATTCATCCATTAAAGCTGCCAGCAGCGTACATAAAGCCAAACAATTCCCCTAACTACCCAAATTGATCAATTTCAATTCACTGCAAATAGCCTGGGCGTGATTTGTTGGGGTGGCTCGGTGGCCCGTAATGTCGCCCCTGGTTGGTAATGTTTGGCAATATAAAAACTTTTTGTCCTTTTACGATATAGGAGCTATGGTCTCACTCTCGCTCGCTATAAAAAAAAATAAAAAAAAAATATAAAACGAGAACGACACCTTTACCAAAGTAGCTTACTACAAATTTGTCAAAGCCGGGCAGCAAATCGAAAACAAAAACGTGAAGCCAAGTAAAAACTCCAATCGCAGGCAATAGCACGCACCGAAGGCGAAGTTTGCATTTCGAATTTCAAGTTCCCTGCTGCTGAGTGGAGTTTTACTGTGTGTGGTGCTGCCATAAGTTTGAGTTTAGAGAATGGTCAACTATCTGGGCAATGGACTTGTGACCTATGGACTATTTCTGAGCCTTCCTGTGAGAATGTTGCTGTATGCGGTCTTCCTTTACCTGGCCAATGTGGCGGCCATGTTGCAATTGATCCAGGAACTTTTGATGCTATCGCTGCAACTGCAACTGGTGGCGATCAGATACATGTACCATCCCCGGCTCTTTGTGGGTACACCATTTCGAGAGAACCTACTGGACACACTGCAGTTCCTCATGAACGGATGGAGCCTGCTGCTGCACATGCTCGCCCAATCCTTGAGCTTCCCGTGCGCCGTTCTGGGACGACTCAGCCGGGTTTTCCGTTTCTGCGCCCGTAGTCGCACCTGGGCGACCATGCTGCAGCCCAACTGAAGAACTCTGGAAACCCTGGAAACCCTGGAAACCCTGGACAGCCCCCAACGCTGAAAAATTATCCTGCGAGAGCAGGATAATTCCCAAGTGCATGAAATTTAATGCTCATTTTGTGGACTCAAATCCGCATACTTTAGCGAGGTACTTGATGAACAGGAGGGTATTTGGGTACTAGGCACAAGGCAACATTGTCGGAAAATTAAAAAAAATTGATTTTAAAACTAACTTTGCGCACCTTCACTAACAAATATACTCTACTGGAATATTGGCAGTAGAATACAAATATATTTATCTAAACATATAAAACTATCATTTATGAGTTGAGAATCAATGATTAGCCAAAACCAGTAAGGATATAGTACTGAAAATAGACGGCGTATTCTTTTATTGCTTTAAATTAACTTGTGAAGATGGTTTCTGTTTATTTTTTCTAAGTTTTGAAAAGTAGTTTATTAGGAGTGATCTATAAATTTTTTTTGACAAATTGACAATAATAGCAAAGATACATTTTTTACAAACTGCTGCACTTTATGTTTATCAAATCAAAATGTTAATTGTGCAATATAGTATGGCCATGTGATCATTTTTTTTAGCAAGAATCCAATCTTTCAATCTTTTTTTTTTAGTACCGAGTATCCTTTAGTCGAATCTATCGTTTCTACATTTTTGGGGAGCGGAATGCCGCCAAATGCATCCGCATTCGCATTCGCTTTTAGCGTGCGCAATTACACTTGAAGAAATCCTGGGGATTTCATGCGAAAATCCATTTGTCACAATGCCGAGTACGTGAGGCAGCGCAGCAGCTGCAGCAGTGCGTGTAAATGTGTCGTCCGGGCAGAGCGCGAGTCCTTCGGGTCGTCCTTTGGCCCCATCCCGTCCCGTCCTGTCCCGTCCTGTCCGGACCTGTCCTGTCCTGTCCCGTGGATCCTTTGCATCCTCCGCAAGCTGCACAGCTAGTTCTGAACTGAACTGAACTGAGCTGCACTGATGCAGCTGCAGTGCCGTTGCTCTATCACAATGACACTTCATTTCAGTTGGCCTCTGCGGCAAGGAGTCAGTAGTCCTCGATGCTTTGCCCAAAAATATATGTGCAGATCTACATGCACTCGTATCTCCGCATCCACATCCGCATCTGTAGCTGTATCTGTATCCGCTCCTGCATTTGTATCTGTATCTGTGTCTGTTTCTGTAAATGTGGTCATTGCCGGGAGCCTTTGGATGAGAAAATAGCCAGCTCTGGATTACTTGAAGCCGACCCAGTGCGTTCGCTTAATGGAGTTCCTCCAAAGGCACCCAAAAGCCAGTCAGCCGCCCCGGAGGAGGGCCGCTCGAAGCGTATTGGCAACGTAAACCGATTCTAGGATTCTCGGATTGTTGGACTCCTGAATTCTTAGATTTCGGCAATCAAGTACAATTCAAACGGCCATGGCATTCAGCATCAAAGGTCAAAGGTTTCAAGGAGTGGGAGTAGCCATAGAAAGCGGAGCTTTAATATAAGCTTTAAGTGGGCGTATAAGTACACTTATTCGAAAATTGGGTACTTGAAAGATCATCATGACTTTTCTTTATTATTAACCAAAGGTTCTCAATTTTTATATGACTTAAAAGATTTTTAAAGTTTTTATATTTATGCTGGTATTGTACAAATGCATGTACTGTTGTGTATAACAAGTAACTTAAATGATATATAGGTTTTCCCATATTTTACAACTCTTTTTTCTTTATACCAATGCATGTACTGCTGTGTATAAGAAGTATTTATATTTTACAAACTCTTTTTTCTTTATACCAATATTCTGTGTCAGTTTACACTAAAAGGATCCCCAGATTTCGACACTTTGTTCCTTATAAATCCTTTAAGTAACGACTTTTGTTCGGGTATTATTCATGACCAGGCAGCTTAATTATTTTAGTCTAAAATATGAACAATTAGCCCTCTGACGGGGCCAAGACTCTTCATAAAAAGTATGCCACAATAGAAGCCTGCCATCGCCCCTTGGCCCAGAACAAAGGACGAAGGATTTAAATTAAAAGTACTTTACTCTAGCCCTTGATCTGTGCAATCCACCCTCGCTACTCACAGACTTCAAGTGCGAAAGCGAACGCCGCACAAGTTTTCATAATCATGAATATTGTTTATCGCCCTGTGAGCAGCTCAGAACCCCCAGCCTTTGCAAGTGCATTTGAGCATAATGAGATAGACTATGGACTCCGGTCTCCAGACTCCGGCGGAGTTGAGTTGGGCTGAGCCGGAGTTGAGTTGCAGTTTAAGCCGCTCGCTAAGTGCTAAGTGAAAAATAACCGTGGCCATAACAAAAAAGGCTTAAAAAAGAAAAGTGGCCTTTAGACACTTGACATCGCAACGGATGGCGAACGGACATGGGCTTTAAGCCCATAAAAAAAAGAAGAGAGGAAAACCCCTTTAATTGGCTGGCCACGGTATTTTCATAATATGTTGTTTCAAGAGTTTACAGCGTATTTACACATAGAATTACATAAATGCTGAGCGCATTAACTTTAATTGAAAAGTATTTTTAATTAATAAATTTCAACACGTTGGCGCCAGCCCAGCACACATAATTGCAAGTAGGCATTAAAAAGTGCCCACTCCTCGGGGCAAAGGGCAATCATCACAACAATAACAATATAATGTCAGCACAAACAACTGCATCCGATGAAGGTATATATATACATGTACTACATATATACTCCATAGTACATTGTATTGATATGTCAGACAACAACAATGGCAAACGGAACAGCGACCAGCGGAAAAAAGGTTAATTGACCAACAAATAACTTAATTAAATCAAATGAAAATTAAACAATTCAATTTTTAATGAGGTTCGCTGGTTTTGACCTCGTTTCAATTATGAAAAGCAAGCACAATGGGCACAAGTGCCCGGAGTAGGCAGCTCAGCTCCCGGATGACTGATTGGACGGATGGACGACTGGACGGCAGGAAGGCCAGCTGGAGGTCGTTCCGCCCACTCGGAAAAGTGGAAAATTGGAAAAGTGGCGGTGGCACAGGCACTGACAGCTCTATTAAAATTTCGAATACCCTCAATTCTGACCGCCTTCTCAGTATCACCGGCCCAAAAAAGTGGTCAGTTCGAAACTATTAATTACAGGTGGTTAACAAAAAAAGGTTAAGTCGAGAATGGAATTTCCGGGTGTGGGCCTGAACACTGAAACACGTGTGATCTACTAATTGCTGAACCACTTAATTATAGTTTTTAAATTTCCCAAAATACTCATTAACTGAAATTGGGTTTCCTTCTCAGGAAAACTTAAAAAAATATATTTACCTGGGATTAAGTAATTTTAAGCCGATGTTTCATTTACAAATAGAAAGCTTTTTTAAAATATTTAAATTAACTAAGCAACTGGTTATGTTAAAAATTAGAATCCTACTTAAATATATTATTAAAATATTATCTTTAAACGTCATTAAAAAATGTATCCCTCTACAAATTCATAAAAAAGGTGTTAAATATTTTTAGTATAACGTATTTATGATTTTAAAAAATATTTTTAAAAGCAAATGCTGCAAATATTTAAATAAGATTACTAAATAATTAATCCCATAATTTCAGCAATTCGAAGAGCGAAAATTAAACACCATTTACGCTAATTTATGGAAATATTTGTAACTTTCGAGATAAAATCGCCATCGCTGTAAATAAAGCCCTGTTGAATCAATAATTAATTTTTAATGATTTACAACGTGACAACTGCTTGTTCGGGGATAATTCAATAATATAGCAGATCAACTATCAAAACTGAAACGCTCCCTGCGCTTTAACAATTCACAAACCGAATACGTTTTGCCATTCAGCCACCGTTGGGAGTGAAGTTCATAAAAAATACATAAATTATGTAAATTGATTAAAAAATCAGCATACCTCGGCAATAAAATGATTATAGAACAGAATGAATAAACAATGGCCACTTGCAAAACTGCAACAACTGCAGGACAGCACTTATAGAAGAACAATTTACAACTGCCGAGTGGCAATTGAAACTAAGACCATCGAGGAATGTATTTTATTTGATTTTACATTTTACTTGCTCCCTTTTTTGTCTGCCCTTGTTGTTGCCGTTGTTATTGGCTGTTATTGTTGGGCGTTTAATGAATTTTATTGATTGCAAATACAAAATAAGAACACAGCATCAGGCAAATGGAAACCATTTACAGCTTAAAAATATTTAATTACCAACCACCCCGCGAATGGTCTGGGGGATTTCGTGGGTTGGATGAGTTGGGGTAAAATTGTGGAGTTGGGTTCGAAATGTTTCCAGGTCTTGCCACCAAATTGCAATTAATCTTCTTTTAACAGCAAACTTTTGATCCGCTTTATTTGCATTTCGCGGCGGCCCACCGTGGAGGGAAAATAACGAAAATGCTTGTCATAAAAAATTATCAAGGGTTAAAAATTATGTTACGCGTTTCATTTTGGTCGCTGCGAAAATGATTTATGCAAAATCTGTGTGCCCCTTAAAAATGAATATAAATTGTGCAATTTCATGTTGCTGCCCTCTTCAACTTCCCTCAACTTTTTGTGTCCGGCAAATTAATTTAAAAGCAGCAACAATAAGTGAAATAACAAACTGCGAAAGGGTCGTCGTTGGTGGTGTTGCTGCCTGGGCATTATTTATAATCTCACAAATTGAAAAGGTTTTTCTAATCAAAAAAATCCACATTAGCCGATGATAATTTTCTGTAAGCCCAGATAACCGGGATAGTAGCCACTGCCATAGCCATAGTAACCAGGCGATTGCTGGCCATAGTAGCCGTAGTAGTTATAGCCAGGATAGCCAGACCATGGGTAACCATTGGCCCAGTTGAGGTAGGGAAAACCGGTGATGCCGCCGCTAAAGAAGATGCCACGCCTTCTTCGACGCCCCCGCCCCACCGCCGGATGCAGATTCCACACGGAAGAGCCGCCAATTTCCTGCTCCAATGACAGCAAATCCGTTTTTACATCGCCAACTGGTGCCACATCCTTGTCAACAGCCGACGCGCCACTCAAGTGCGTGCCCAGCAGCAGAATCGTCTGCACCGCCGCCAGCAACAACAGCATATTTAAATATTTAAATATTTAAAATTCAACGCTGAAAATATGATATTTATATTTAATTCAATCGACAAACCGCGTCACTGCCTCGCACACAACTGCCAGTCAAAGAGTCGTCGATGTTTCCTATTTATATGTGGGGTCAATGTGGATTGA